TTATGGCAACCTTTTTGCTAACATTAATTGAGGCTTGAAACTGTAAGTTCTAAAATCCCGGATTTATAGCTTTTATAGATTTGTATTAGCCAATCATTAAATTTGTCGATTTCGTCCCTTTTCTCAGCACTTTTCGAAAATTTTCGTAAGTTTACGGTTACACGACACATTTTTCCGATGATCAAATTAGGTCGGATGCATGTCGATCATTGTTGTAATCAAAACACAAATTACTGTTTATCTTATGATTTACTAATTGTCGATTTCGGCCCTTTTTCCAGCACCTAGCCCATATATTCACTTCCTGTTTCAGGTCTCAATAATCTTGTTTTATATTGCTTAAAATATGGTGTTTGGTATATTTAAAGAAACATTTGTGTGAAATTTTTCTCAAAATGAAATACTAACATTAAATATCTTTTTATAAACAGGCAAAGGAAAATGATAAAACCTAGTCACCTTACTAAGAAAACTAAAATGAATGATGTTGGGGTTGTGGATGGAGATTCAGGAGATATATATAACAAGTTTTTCGGAATTTATGATCTGAGAAAAGTTTTTGCAGTTGAATTTTTTGCATGGCTCCTTGCTCAAGGAATAGAATCAGATTTTAACGATGACCAATGTACAAATAATTTCTTTCTCAGAGTTGACAAACTGCAAAACGATGAATGTTGGAGACCATATAAAAAAGATTTTAATGAAACTCGTAAGGTTATTTTTACTTTATATTTTAATATTTTATCATTATGATATCAATGATGAGTGAATATTAAACTCATCAAGTTAACATTGGCAAAGTGATTTACAAGCAGGAGCAAAGAACTTTTTTCTCGTGCTGAGCTGCCATACTTAATCTCATTTTTGTTGATGGTAAATGTATTGCCAAATTTACTTGCAGAATTCTTTAAAACTAACGTTTACATGTGGGTGGTTTTGACACATTGTGATTTGATATGCCTCTCCTTTAGAAAAAACGTGTTTCTGAGGATATCTTATTTTTCAATATAATTGTATTTTATACAAATAATTAATATTTTTTTTTTTATATTGAATTCAAGACAGATAGAAGAAAGGGCAACAGAAATGCACGCATAGCCTACATAAATATGGTGATAAAAATCTTATGTCCCATACTTTGAAGTATATTGAAAACCTAGAAAATAAGTTGATCCCAATGACAAGCTTTGATAAATCTCTCCGGAAAAGATTTATTACTAATATAAGGGCCATCAGCGTTAGTACTTTATTATTATTGACCAGTATCAAAAATTTGGTTTAATATTTAGTAATTATAGGATCAAAGAGATGCCTAGAAATGGACATTAATGGATAAAAATAATATTGAAATTGATGTTGTCAAAACAATTTGCCGAAGTATTACTGAGGAAATGATAATGAATCTTGAGTATAATAATCCTTTATTATCATATGTGGTTGATTTTTCAAATTTATCCAAAGAAATCAAAGATGCATTTGATGAGCAAGTGCTAATAACAATGACAACTCCACCAATAAAATTCTATCGAGACATGGATCCTACTTCAGAAAAATATCTTGTATACTTGTATGAAAACCAACAAGTGTGCGAAAAATTATTTCCACAAGTTAGCGATGCAAGTTCTTTATTTATGGAGCAGTATTTTCTTTGGAAAGCATGCTACAAACTGTAAGTAAATAAATAAATACAATGAGTATTATTCGTTTTGTATCCTAATTTCAATAATTAGTAAATTTCTTAAAGATTTGAGATGTGGAATAGTAATAATTTTAATAAAGATTTTACAACTACGTTTAATGAAGGTACCTGGGAGCATTTTGTATTACACCCACTATTTAATATTTTGACGTTAAGTTTAGATAAATGTGTGTTACGCTAGTATGTAAGAATGTGCAATTATTGTAATTATTTACGGTAAATAATCTAACATATTATAATCATGTGTTTAGGGGTGAAAGTTCATCAAGTGCATCAAAATATCGAAAGACCGAAAATATAAAATTTGAGAAGGAAACTCGTGAACATTTAGATTGAATAATTGCACCATTTCTGACGTTTTCACAAGCAAAGAAGGCAGATACCTGGATTGAAATGATGATTGCAAAAAATCTTCATGAGATTGTATTTGCTGAAACATCAGGTTCACCTTTTCAAGCTACATGCACAACTAAAAAGGTGTATAATGATAAATGTAAATTAATACGCTTTGGACATGATTCAAAAAATAAAATGCTCGATGAACTTATTGAGAAGAAATGCATATATTTGTCTGATTGGAAGAACCTCTGTAATGAAATCCGCAAAGCTGAATTGTTGTTATTCCAAGCTTATAGTAAGTTGAGCTTCATATGTTCTTCTAGTATCAAACTCTGTCCTTATTAGTTTAATTTTTGGCGTTACTAAAAACATTTGTTTCAATATTTTAGAAGCGAAGCTCAAAGTTTTCATCTTGGATTGTCCAGCACACCCTTTTTGTCGCGTGGGAGAATTATTTGACTTAGATATTCCATATAAAAAAGTGGCGATAGAAGAATTTAAGTTATTTATTCAGGCTTTATGGGCAATCAGATGTGCACTATCTGATATTATTCATGATTATGAAAAAATAGGAGAAAAACTGTTAAAAGATTATAATAAAATTGCTGGTTCAGGCCCGTATGAGATTGATTGTGGAGTACGAGGTTATCAATCACACCCTTCTCCATAATGATGCATAAAGACAGCTGTGTTTACAGGTGATTGAGTAACGAAGTCAGAAAAATTGTAGTATGTTCTTTAGAAACAGGTTACTTCCAAAAGTAATTAGATGGATGGTTTTCTTGGACAAGTCCAGTAATCGATCTTATGATGAATACAGCAAGTAACATTGTTGAAAGCTATTTAGAAGATATTGAGTCTGATGATCCTGATAATTTTCGTTATCATCGTCTTCAATATAATTTGGACGCTTATTTTTGATATCTTATATTTTAATAATTGGTGATTACAGGTTTTCACTCATATACTTATATATGTGAGCTTGGTGCCGCAAAAAGAAGGAAAAATGACAATTTTATCAAAAACAAACTTTTTAAGTATAACTAATTCAAAATTAACTCAGGAATCATTTGGTTTTATGAAAAAATATTATTATCTTAATAAAATTTTGCCTATAGTATAAGAAAAGGAACAGACATAAAATATTTTTTATTAAAGAAGATTTTTATATAACGACCAGAATTCATTTCTTATAAAGAAAACTTTCTTCATGAGAGGAATTACATTAAAGTTGGGTTCCTAAACCCTAAACTACGAGCTTAGGTAGAGTTTAGGCTATGTAGTTTTGGGTCTAGGGACCAACTCTAAACTACATAGACATCTACATAATCCCCTATCTTAAAATCATAGGAGATTGAAATAGGAAGAGAGACTACTAGACGTCAAAGTACAGCTAAACAGTCACATAAAAAATAAGTAAAATTTCTAATTGATTTATTGACGACTTCGGTTTTTAATTTATAAAAAAAGAATAAATAAGATATTGTTCATGAAAAAATAACAATTTAAACATTCCTTATATTTTCTCTTTGTACTGTAATTTGAAATACGTTTTACCTATATTTTTCAAGAACTTGTATTTATTTAAAGTACATTATTGCATTGTAATTGTTATATGAATCTTAATGGGTTGATTCACATGACCTTATCTCTGCCTTAACGTAGGCAGAGATTAGGTCACGTGATAGACGTTTCATAATGCCGGCCAACAATCTCGCCAAAAACTTCGATAAAGACTTTTTACTAATAGAAAATTCTCGTTAAAAGGTACAAAATGAGTGACGCTAAAAAAAAAGCAGACTTCAATTAATATGCATATTTTTTAATTAAAATTGTTTCAGTATACAAATATGTGAAAAAATATAAATACTATGCAAGAAAGTTTAAGCGTAAACAGAAATTTATCTGCTAAGAATAAGCAAAGTTAATAGTCATAGTGCTGATCTATTATATGCGTATTTTTTAATTAATTCATTCTTTCAATACCCATATCGAGGTGCTTTTCTCGAATGGCATGTGACTCTGCAGAACCATGGGTTAGCAGAAAATATAATCCTTTTCCAGTTTAGAATAAATATCATTAATTCTTGCAATTGGCAGGGACATAGTTTCGACACTGGTGGAAAATATCTATTAAATAGACGAATTTGGACCATTACTTTTATAGCCAATAGTGATGAAACTAACAATACGAAAAATAGGTGATTCTTAATTATCGCATTTATAATTTATAAAAAAAAAAATTTTCAATGGATCACAGGGTATGACTTTTAAATTTTTAATTTTAAGCACTATCACTAATAACAAATAGTCACTAAATCAAAAGTGTTTAAATTAAATTTATTTTTTATAATACTGTAATTGAACACTTTCTTACAATACAACTATTTAAAAAATGAATTGTGTCTCATCACCAATTCAAATTACATTGAATGTTAATTATATTCATCGAATTTTCTAATTTATTAATGAAGATATTTTGATAGATTTTATAATAATTATTAGAAAACTTTATTACAAAGCTATAGAGCCATTTCTTTTATTTTATTTGAAAAAATTTTTAATATACTGTACTATCTTTTTTTTTCTTAAAAAAGATCAAGTAGAAAGACTTAATTTAATTCCTAACTTATATTAGATTTTAACTTACGTAACTTACATATGGGGGTGAGTCAATAGAAATCAAGCAAATTTTTTATAATAAAATTTTTTTATAACTTTAAACAACAATAACTTTACCAAATTTAATAAAATATTTTTAAAATAATTTTTACAAACTTGTAAAATTAATTTAAAAAAAATTTTTTTTTAAATTTGATCAAGTTTTTTGTTAAGTTATTCTTGTTTAAAATTTTAAAAAAAACTTATTAAAAAAGATTTGCTTGGTTTCTATTGACTCAACCCCATATGTTACACTAATCTAATGCTGGCCAATATTTTTAAAGTTGGCTCCAGTGATGTAAATTGGATTGGCGCAGTAGGCACAGCACACATAGATTTAAATTTGCGCATATATCAGTGCTCATTGTATATATAACGCGCGTTGGTAGAATTAGCTCGTAACTCTGGTAAACATAATGTTGGTAGAATTAGCTCGTAACTCTGGTAAATATAAATTTGG